CTCGGACCCCATTATTTTGAACAGCTCCATCCAAAACTTCCCGGTAAAACGGGTATCTTGGTCGCTTACGATGGTCTTCGGTATGCCCTAATACTTTACCACATGCTTGAAGAATAAGCGTGCGACATCTTCAGCGGTGAACTTCGTAGGGACAGGAATGAACACTCCATACTTACTAAACCGATCCACCACGACCATAATGTTCCCACACCCCTCAGACTTAGGCAAACATGTGATGAAGTCCATAGATATGCTCTCCCACGGCTTCTCCGGTGTGGGCAACGGCTCCAGCAACCCCGTTGGCTGTTGTTGATCCACCTTGTCTTGTTGGCACACAAGACAAGTATTCACATACAACTCCACTTCATCCTTCATTTGGGGCCAATAGTACACACGTTCTATCACTGCCATCGTGCGTCTAATTCCAGGATGTCCAGCCCATCTCGAATCGTGGCACTCCTTGATGATCTCCTTCCTCAATCCTTGCCACTTCGGCACATAGATCCGATCTCCCTTGGTCATGAGCAACCCCTCTCTAAGCCAAAACTGGCGTGTCCTCCCTCGACTTGCCAACTCCATCAAACTCTTGGCCTTTGGGTCATGCTCCAGTCCCTCCGTGACTCGATCCACCAAAGGGAAACTCGGGCTTGTGATGGCAGCTAGCTCAGCCTTCCTACTCAATGCGTTGGCCACATTGTTCGTCTTCCCCGGCTTATACTCCATCACAAAGTCAAACTCCGCAAGAAAGTCTTGCCACCTTGCTTGCTTCGGCGTCAACTTCTTTTGATTGAGGAAATAACTTGTTGCCACGTTGTCCATCTTCACCACGAACTTGGAACCCAACAAATAGTGCCTCCATGTCCTCAAGCAATGCACCACGACTGTCATTTCTTTCTCTTGGACCGTATAGCGGCGCTCGGTATCATTCAACTTGCGGCTCTCATAGGCAATGGGATGCCCTTCTTACATCAATACTCCTCCTAGAGCAAAGTCTGAGGCATCGGTCTGGACTTCGTACGGCTTTGTGTGATCGGGGAGTGCTAGGACATGTTCCTCGGTCACAATTCTCTTCAAGTCCTCAAATGCATGTTGGCACCTCTCGTCCCACTTCCATGCTACCTTCTTCTTCAATAGATCCGTGAGCGGAGATGCTATAGAAGAATAGCCTTGAATGAACCGTCGGTAATAGTTTGCAAGTCCAAGAAAGGATCGTAACTCGGTCACCTTCTTGGGCGGCTCCCATCCACATATTGCCTCGATCTTTGCCTTATCCATCCGGATTTTGCCCCCTCCAACAATGTGCCCAAGGAACGTCACCTCCTTTTGAGCAAAGGCACATTTCTCCTTCTTCACGTAGAGCTCGTTCTCCCTCAACTTCTGGAACACTTGCCTTAGGTGATTAGTGTGCTCCTCCAAAGTCTTACTATAGATGACTATGTCATCCAAGTAAACCACCACGAACTTGTCCAAGAACGGCTCAAATACCCGATTCATGAGGGTGCAAAACGTAGCTGGAGCATTGGTGAGTCCGAATGGCATCACAAGAAATTGGAAGGAACCATACCTTGTCACACATGTGGTTTTCGGTCATCTCCTTTGGCAATCCTTACTTGATAGTATCCCGACCTCAAGTCCAACTTTGAGAACCACTTTGCTCCTCCAAACTGATCAAACAAGTCCGCAATGAGTGGAATCGGATACTTGTTCTTCACCGTAATCTTGTTTAGCGCCCTATAATCGATGCACATGCGTAATGACCCATCATCCTTCAACTGCCTCTTCATCTCTTCTAACTCAGGCGGTGCCATCCTATATGGCACGCCCGCTGGTGGTGTAGACCCGGGGATCAACTCGATCTTGTGGTCTACATCTCTCTTGGGCGGAAGTCTCTTCAGCAACTCAGACGGCATCACGTCCTTGAACTCCACGAGCACCTTAGCCACCCCCTCCGGCATATCACTTGTGGGCGCTGGTTCCTCCTTCAATTTGGCTAAGTATGTAGGTCGCCGCTTCCTCACGCCTCTAGCTAGTTGCAAGTCTCGCCCTCTTTCATTATGCACATAGTGTTGGCAAACGGAATCGGTATTGCCTTCACCGAATCCATAAACTCCATGCCCAACACAATAGGATAGTCGTCCATAGGAATGATCGAAAAATCAATCAAGCCACTCCACTCGCCCAAGGTAACCCTAACCCCACGAGCCACTCCATAGATTGACTTAGGCTGTGAGTTAACAGCTTTCAGCCAACCATGGTCTTCAACATAGGGGATGCCCAATCTTTTTGCCTCCTTAACTTCTAAGAAGTTGTGTGAAGCACCAGAATCAACAAGAGCTTTAGTTGTTTGTCCACGTACCTTAGCTTCCACGAACAAACGCCCCTTCTTCTCCGTCTTGGTCTCGGTTACCTTGGCCTTAATGGTGTTGAGAATGTGAAGGGAACCCACCATAGCTTCCTCCCGTTCTCGTTCCTCCCTTTCTTCAACTAAGGCCGAGAGATTGGCCTTCTTCGGGCAATCCTTCGCCTTATGCGGCCCATCACAAAAGAAGCACTTCAACGGTCTCTTCTCCCATGTCTTGGTCTCCTTTGCCCCCTTGCTCTTATCAAAGTGTTGGAAACCCTCTTTGTGCGGACGGTGGTCTCCCCCACTCTTTTCCTTGCCCTTCTCCTTAGTCGGTGGCTTCACCTTCTCCGGCTTCTTGAACTCCACCAAGGACTCGGCAATAGCAATGGCAGTGTCGAGATCTTGAGCCCCACGCCTTTGGACCTCGATCTTAGCCCAACCTTGCAACCCATCCGTAAAAGCAAAGAAAGCTTCCTTATCAGGATAGTCAGGGATATCTAGGAGTACCTCAGTAAATTCCTTCACGTATTCCCGCAGGCTTCCCTTGTGCTGTAAACGCCTTAGCTTAGCTCTCCCCTCCTCTTCCGCATTCATTGGGCGGAACTGTTTCTTGAGTTCACTCTTGAACTCCTCCCACGTGTTTATAGTGCAAAGACCCTTCTCTCGGTCCCCATACTTCCTTCTCCACCACAACATGGCGGTATCCTCCAAATACATAGTTGTCGTGTCAACCTTCTTGGTATCATAAACAATACCAAGAGCCTTGAAGTATTGCTCCATACTCCACACAAAGTTCTCTATCTCCTTAGCATTCCTAGCCCCTTTATATGTCTTGGGTCTAGGAACATCACCCTTAGAGGGAGTAGGACTTACCTCACTCGACGATGTGCTTCCTCCTTGCACGACCGCCTTCTTGCATAGGACCAGCTCTTCCTTGGTTTCCACCAACTCGTTGGTGACCTTCTCCAACTCTTCCCGTAGTGAAGCAACCATGGTCATCAAAGTCCCCTCCAAGCCCTTGACCTCGGAAAGACACCGGTCGAGGATCTCATTGACCGCTCCTTGCACCTCACCTCGAAGATCTTCACTATTCTTCGCAAGTTCCACGATGCGTTGGTCGACTTCCTCAAACCTTTCTTCCCCATCGGCTATAGCAAGCTCCGCCTTGGCTAGCTGAGTCTCCACCTCCGTCATGGCTTCTCGAGACTTGGACCTTCCCCTCTTGGTTTGCTTCCCGGCATCCATGCGAGTTGTCTCGCTATCTGAACCGGCCATCTCTTCTCAAGGACACGAAACCAAAAAAACCTTGGCTCTGATACCAACTGTCACAGACTTAATTCTCGAACCCGTGCGGCACTAGCAACACTCACTCAAACTATGCTAGTCAGCCTAACTCTTGCGGAAACTAGGACACCGATTGTGGAGAAACTTGTACAAAGACTTTATTGCTCTCAAGCTTTCGATGATACAAATGAGCCAACCATGAGGGGTATTTATACTTATCATCCTCCTCAATGGACGGCTTAGATCTACTTGATCTAACAGCTACAATTCAATTCTAGAGTATTCTATACAACTCTATGATATTCTAGAGTATTCTACTCTATTCTATACAAGTGTACACTTATCTACACGAGTCTATAATGTTCTCTTAGCCTCCAGGATTCTGCCCCTCTCTCTGAGCATGTTCTAGACTCCAGCTCGCCTCCAGGTCTCGGTATGTCGCGACTTATGCCACTCAATGCCGCGGCGTTCAGGAGAGTCGTGACACCACCTATTGGAAGCTGAACTTCTACCTTAAGTGTGCACACCCCCTAAAAGGGATTCCAAGCGACCAAGCCCTCCGGGTAGTAAGAAGCCCAAGTAGCCCGGGTAGTTTATACCAGCTAATCCTCAAAGGGATATACTCCCTAAGTGACTAGAAAACTACTACTGCGACCACCAAAGGACTTTTAAAGCCCTCCCAGAAATACCGGAATGTCTACCGGATATTAATATTTAAATAATCCACAAGGGTAACGAATCCATCAAAAAGCAGTAGTAGTCCCTAACCACCCCCTTCACAATTCACAATCGTGAAGGAGACCGACACAACGGGTTTCTCTCGTGATGCTCACAATTATGAAAAATATTTTTTTTCTTTAATACTCTCATAACCCAATATATATTATACATGATAAAATTCCAACATTCCAAGAATAATGATATTTTATTCTTAAAGCCTGATTTCTCAAAATAGCTCAAAATATGACATACTATGTAAATAACTCAACATAAATAGCTCAAATCTAAATAACATTTACAATCACAATTCATAATTCAAATACTCATAATTTAACTGGATACCAAATACTCATATAAATACTAGAAACATTCACACATAGATTTACGAGGTAAAAATATAATTTTGGTTGACATTGAACTTACAAGTGACACTTTCTACCTTCTTCTTTTTCAATCTTGGCAATAATCACCTTTAGTAAATTTAAAATAGCATAATCAGTATTTTATCTTACTTTTGATAATTCATCCTATTTTACTAATTGACTTTTGAGATTAATCGGTTCTATTTAATTTGTTTATAATTATACATTTACAGTAGCTAAGTTTATTTATATCCATACGTTAGAAGAAGGAGAGCTGTGTGAGGGAGTGAGGACTTTTGTTGAACAAGCAGGTTATGATTCGGAAGGGACTTTCATTCATACTGAGGATGTTACCAAGGAGCAGTGGAAGGAGGTTTGTGGTGAGCTACGTCACAAGGTCGAGATGATTGAGAGGTCCAAAGCAGAGGTTATGGGACTGGCATCAAGAAGAAAGGTTAACTATTATTGAGCCTATTGTAAGTCCCTCTCAAGGGACCTATTATATGCAGAATTTGGGTTTCTCGAATATCTTTGTGGGTGCTACTAATAAATTGTGGGTCATGTGGGACTCTACAGTTTTTGAAGTTTTTTCAGTGGTTGATAATGATCAGTTTTTGGTGATTAAAATGATGCATATTCCAACTGAATTTACTTTTGTGTTTTGCCCGGTTTATGGTAAACATACAAGGAGAGAGAGAAGTCAATTGTGGAATGGTTTGACTGCTTTTGCGAGGGCTGATAACTCTCCGCGGGTGCTGGGTGAGACTTTAATGTTGTGGCTTCTGTTAGTGAGTACAAAGGTCCGGCAGGTCCTCGTTTGGAAGATATGACGGTTGTGGGCTCATGCAAATAAATTCCTTCTATTGGGTCTTCCTATACTTGGTCAGGAGTAAGGTCTAATGGCAGAACTTGAGAAAGATTAGATAGATATCTAGCAAATACATACTTTTTGGAGAATTTTGAGACCTCTAATTAAGATCCAACATCTAAGTAGGACTCCGTCTGATCATTGTCCTATTCTACTGATTTGCGAGAGTGCTACTACTAGGGGCCCGAGTCAATTTCGATTGCAAAATATGTGGTTTACTAACTCGGAATTCCTGACTTTTGTTGCCTTGAAATGCGTTGATTATCCCAGAGCTGGTGGCATGCAAGGACGGATGTCTAAACTCAAAGCTCTGAAGCAAGATCTAAGAATATGGAATAAAAACATTTTTGGAGATGTTTTCAGGGAGACAGAGAGGATGGAAAGGGAGGCGTTGGAGGCTGAAAAGGAATTTGAAGAACACCCTACAGAGGCAACTAGAGCTTATTGTCATTTGAAACAGGCTGAGTAATTAAAGCGTGCTAAGCAAAATGAAATTTTTTGGAAGCAAAAAGCTAATGTAAAATGGATCAAGGAGGGGGATGCGAATACCAAATTTTTTCACTCAGCTTTCAAAGATAAGGTTCGTAGGCAGCACATTAAAGCTATTAAAAAACAGGATGGTGAATGGTGCTACGACGCTCAGGACTCAGGAGATTGCGAGTGAAGCAGTACATTTTTTTGAGAATTTGTATAAATTCGTACCCACAGAGTCTTATACGGAGATTTTGGAGGCTATCCCAGTCAGTTTAGATGCGTTGGATAATGAAGCCCTTATGGTTTTGCCTGATGAACTTGAGGTTAGGAACGCAATTTGGAGTTTGATTCCAGATGCAGCTCCAGGGCCCGATGGGTTTGCAGGTCTTTTTACAAAGGATGTTGAGATATTATTAAATGTGATGTGGTACTTGCGGCTATAAAATAGTGTATCTTTCTAAAATAGTGCTAGGAAGGACATATAAAATTCATGCGTATCTTTCTAAAATAGTGTAATTGCTTAGAAGAGAATAAATTCTATTGAGAGTTGTTTATTTATTTGCTATTAAGAGTTGTTTATTTATTTGCTATATTTATCATCTATGGCCCACTTGTAAATGTAGGGTCCTAGTTTCTATACATTGTAGCTATATATATGTGTGCATGCATTCCATTTTACAAAATGAAGAAATACTAAGAGGACTCACTCTTGTACCTCCGATGGTTCCTTAGTTTCATTTATTATATATTCATAAATTTCAGTTTTAACAAATTCAGACCGAATCAGACTAGCTTTCTTTTGTCGTAATGCTCCAAGCATAATTGCTTTGATTCACCAATTTATAAACAAGACAACATACGTAGAGGCCGGTGGTTAAAATCCAAACCCACTCGGCACTCACCCACTACGCACATACTAATGTGATACTAAACTTACGTACATGTGGTTACATGCATGCGTAAATAATATGTAGTAACATAATGTAATACTAAATGCAAATAACTTAATGTGCCACTTAACTAATTGCCCCAAATTAGACTGACACTAATGTAACGGCACATACGCATTGATGGATAGTGTACCCGGGGTAGCTTATCCGAGGGGTTATTGCGGGGAATAACTAGAGAGAAGTGAGAACAAGTAAGTAGAGAGAGAGTATATTAGAAATGTATTCAGCGTTTTCAGCGTATTTGCTTCTTGTGTCTTGGTTACAAATGGGGAAATGGGGTGCTATTTATAGTAGTAATAAATGCCAGACAGGGACACGTGTCAAGCGTCCATTGGCCGAGAGGTCACGTCAACTGGTTGGTGCTGGCAAACGCATGTGGCCGCATTTAATGCGGCTGTTGGATGTGACGTCGTTCTTGGTACGGTGATCTATACGCATGTGGGGCGGATATTATGTCGGAAAAGGTGCCCTCGGCTGTAGATGCTTAGCCGAGGGCTCTGAGCACCCGAGACCCCCTTAGTGCCGAGGGCTCTAGGTGCCGAAGGCTACTGCTTTTTGCCGTTTCCTCCCAGTAACTTTGTTTTCCTGATTTGGCCATCCTGTGAGAATTGGAGCCTCCGGCCAGGGGGCCAAAGGCACCCCTGGTGCGCACTGTGAGCCGCTTGGTACTTTGGGCGCTGTGATTTGGGCCTGTTGTGCTTCCTGGGCCTGTTAGGCCTTTATTGGCGTAGTATGAGTCTGTGGACCGAGGGTTCCCGGGCCATATACTCCATCAGGAGTCCTTCACTCCTTTTGCCGAAAGGTACTTGAGGGAAAAGGAGTAATTGTGTTTGTCCTCTGCCGTTGTTCCGTTGTAGCTTGTAGAGTTGTGGGTAGTTTGCTGTTTGTTTATCCTGCCGAGGGCAGTCCCTCAGTTACCCACATGTCGGGACTTGAGGGGGCATGTTTGTTGTTTGCGGGAGTTTTTAGCATTTTGCACTTTTTGTAATTTTCCCCGGGGGGGGGGGGGGGGGGGGGGGGGTTCTCCAGTCCCCCACTCCTTGAGGCACTTGCAAAGTGGTGAAAAGGAGTAGAGTAATCATGTTGCTGTATTGGGTCGAAGGCTGACGCGTTTCGTTTCATTTTGGGGGGGGATGCCTCGTTAAAAACCTCATTAGGAAAAACCCTGTGGGAAAAAATCCTAATGAGGGAAAAAGAGTGCACCGAATTCCCCCAATGATGAATCGAAAACGTGAAGCCCCGGTTCGAAATGGAGTACAATGCTGATGCCGAAGGGTATCCTTGTTCTGAGGGCGCATGTGTTGATTAGCCAGAGGCATGCTGTTGATATCCTGGGGGGTGCCGAAGGGGAGTCCCTCAATCTGGGGATCGAGGGCGTGATGGATGTGAGTAGTAATTGAAGTGTTACCGGGGTGTCCCCTGTTTGTTATTTAGTTGGTGAGGAGGCTATCTTGGGGCTACCCGGCCCTTAAAGTGCTGAGGGGGGATCCCAGAGGGGTGCGCCTGTTATGAAGCCGTGGGCTTCTGAAGGAGTGAGCCCGAAGGCATTTGTTACGTAGTGTGAGGGGCACAAACCGGGAGCGTCTCTGGGTAAGTGTACCCGAGGGCTCTTCTTGATGAAGCGGAGTGAAACAAAAAGCCCGGGGGCTAGTTTCTTGGTTGATGAAGGAGTGGTCTGCTAAGTGTAGCCGGGAGCTCCCAGAATATAGTCGTTGGGAATATAGCCGTTGGAATACCTAACGTCAAAATATAGCCGTTGGGGGGGCTTCCACATGGTGTGCGCTCGTTGGCTGCCCGTGGGCGGGTGTCACCGATTGGGCGAAACCACGGTTTGTAATGATGGCAGTTCAACCGGAGGCCCGGTTTCCAGGCCCAAGCCCGGATCTAGGCGCCTATAAATACCCCATGGCCGGGCATCACTTCCCATGTGCGATATCATTGTAGCGAAGCTCTGCTCAAATTTCTAGAGAGAGAAAATCCAGCCTTCGGTTGAATCCCCAGCTTTCAAGGTCAGTTCCCACCTGCTCCTCTCCTCTCTTAGTTAGTTGTGCCCTGTGTCCTTAGGCTAGGAGTTAGAAATTAGAACACTTAGCATTTCCGAGCCCTCGACCTAGTGGAAAGATGTCTTCTCAGAGTGATTCTCAGGACATATCGAGGGATCCCTCGATGGAAGAGGAGAGCTTCTCGGATGCGGGGTCCTCGAGCGACCAACCCTCGGCCCAGGAGGATATCGTGATGGCCATGGAGGTGCAGAAGGAGTTAGTGGATGAAGTTGAAGCCGAGGGCTTCGAGCAAGAGGCGGAGGATGAAGAGCTTGCCCTCGCCGTACAAGTTGCAGAGGAGGAGGAAGAGAAGGAGAGGATGAGGGTGACAGTGGCTGTCCCTCCCCCTCGGGGTGCTGGTGAGGCAGGGAGCTCTCGGCCCCTCAACCCGACGCCAATAAGAGTGGCCCCGGGAATAAACAGGAGAAGAAGAAAACTGTCCCCAAGAAGAAGTGCATCGTTGCTGATCAAGGGAAGCCCATCGATGTGCCCGAGGGGTACTCCTGGCTGAATACTGCTGCCCTCGAGATAGGGTCGAAGGCTGACAGGGAAGATTACTACGTGACTCAGCTGCACGTGGGGCCTTCGGTTGTGGTGGTGGCGCCAGGTCCTGATGATGTGCTCTCCCGGGCTCCCGAGGGTTGCATCGCCGTGCACATTCTGTCAGTATCAATGGGGCTCCGGTTCCCCCTACACCCATTCCTTCGAGAATACCTTCAGTATGTGGGTTTGGTCCCCTACCAGTTGACGCCCAATAGCCACTCCTACGTGGCGGGTTTTCTGAATCTCTGTCGGGCCCGAGGGGTGACTCCCAGCCTGGACTTGTTTTTCCAGAGCTTCAACCTCTGCCGAGGGGGTCACGCGAATGCCGAGGGCTTCGCCAATCTGCAGCAGATAGCCCGGTGGAAGCTATTCACGGAAGCGCCCTCGTCCAATAAAGGCTGGAAGGAGCGGTGGTGCTATGTTAGAATTTCCGAGAGCCCATTCCCGATGGAACTCCGGGATCGCTTCCGTCGGCATCCGAAGGTTGGGAACGCTGCTCTGGAGAAGGCTGGCTTGATAATAGCCAAGATCCCGGAGGGTCGTACGAAGCAAGTGTCCATTAAGGACTTTACTGCTGATAAGGAGCTTTTCGCCCTCGGATTCCGCAGATATCGCTTCCTCGACGAGACAGACGAGAAATATTCTGTGTTGGCAGGAGGTAGTTGCCGAGGGCTTCCTGTTTTGTACTTAGGATTTTTTCCTCTTTTTTTCTTTTGCTTTCTTGCCCTTCGGCCTAACCCCTTTTTTTGTTGGCAGGTGTGAATATGGACGCCGGTAAGCTCTTCGCTCTGAAGAAAAAGAAGGGCAAGGCCCAATCCCAGAAGAAGGACCCCTCGGTCCAGCAGCCTGTGGAAACCTTCTTTCAGAAGGAGACTCCGGAGCCCTCTGCTGCGGAGGGAGTTACCGGGGTGGCCGAGGGGGCCACCAAAAAGAAGAAAGGCAGCAAGGCGGTTGAGCCCCCTGCTAAGAAGCAGAGGGGTACAGGGGGCACTGTCGGCCAGGATGCCCCCTTGGTGATCATTGAGGATCGCCCTTCTCCGGATCCCCCGATTGGTGCTGCGACGACCGCTCGGCCCGATCTTCCCTTGGGAAGCCTCCCCCGGGAGATTCTGCAGCTTTCCTTGGCCCCGGGGGCTTCTGTGCTACACGGCTCAGCAGAGCCGAAGGCCTTCCTGAGGGGGATGACCTCGGCGATGGACAAGGCCGCCCTCTCGACTTATGACGATGCGGCCCTCGAGAACAAGATCCTTCGATCTTCGTTAGCTGTAAGTTTCCTCCTTCGCTTTGTGTTTTAACCTTTAATGCGTTATCCATACTAATCTAACCCCTCCGTCTGTTGTCTATCAGGCTTGTGTAGCCCTCGGGGAGCATGCTCAGAGACTCGAGCAATGGCGCCTTCAGAAAGCGGAGCAGGATCGGGAGATGAAGGAGCTTATCCTGAAGAACTCCGACGCTGTGAAGCAGATGGCCTTGCTGGAGGAAGATCTCCGGAAGGCTGTCGAGGGTGCCGAGCTGAAGGCTAAGGCTGCTGCGGAGGAGGCCAGGCTCGAGGCCGAGGGGGCAGCCAAGAGAGCTGCTGAGGAGGCGGAGCTTTCCAAGGCTGAGGCCGTCGCCAAAGCCTGAGAGGAGGCTGTTACCGCGTTTATGGCCGAGGGTTGGAAAACCGAAGACAGGCGGCAGTGGGTGGCCTCGGTCGTGGAGTCTTCGGTTGATGACTGGGTGAAGGGCCCCGGAGCCGACTGGATGGCAGAGAGGGGCGACATCTACTACCAAGGGGTGAGTTCTTCACCCAGCATCTGGTGTACCGAAGGCTTGCCAGGCATTTCAAAGTCCCCCTCGAGGAGTTCGACCCCTCGGCGTATGGCCTTCCTGCTTTGCAGCCAGACGTAAGAAACCCCCTCCCCCCGAGCGAAGAGAGGCCTGTGATCCACGACTCCATGATGATGGGGGGATCTGGTGAGGGTGATGCCGATCTTTCCATCGGGGAGGAGGTCACCTCGAAGCCTGCCGAGGAGGCAATAGCTGAATGAACCCTTTGTACTTAGCATTTTTTGAACACCTCTTTTTCTGTTTGTAACGAATGTTGTACGCCTTCGGCCTCGGCCCCTTTGTAATATACATTTGAATTTTCCTTTCTCCGATGAATGAATGCTTGCCTTCGGGCTTTTCGTATATAATTCGTTTC